AAAAACACCGAAAGTTATACAAGTGTTCAGATCTTTTGTTCATAGGGTCGCTGTGAGTCATCTATGACTCGACCGCACTTAACAACAATAGCAACAAAGTTTGATTGTTGTTGTTGTGTCCCATTGAGTCATACCAACTCATTGCTGACCTTCCAACAAGGTCTTGGAGACAGTGAAGTGCATGGGAGAAGATTGTCAGTCTTTCTCCTGTGGAGCCTGGTGGATTTGAACCATGTACGCTTAGGATGTCAGTGCTATTCCTTACCACTAAACCATCACCAACAGTAGTACTAAAATTCAGATAAATGATCCTTGGAATGAATCTATTGTATCAGGACCCCCTTTTTAACAATTGGATTGATAACCTGAGAACTCTGGTGGCCTACTGTTAAGGAGCTGCCCTGTCGTCCTGAAGGGACAAGGTTAAAATCCACCAGCCACTCTGCAGGAGAAAGATAAGGAATTTTCTCCCAAACAGTTCATGGCCTCTTAAAAACTGCTGGAGGATGGATTATGGGTCATTTCTGTTTCAATAGTACAAAAGACAGAACAGCCTATGAATAGAAGAGTAACCAGGATGGTAATACTTCCTACTAGGATATGATTTCTTCACTTCCCCACTTTGTACATTTTGGGCTAGAAAATTCTTTGTTTGTGTGAGGTAGAATTATTTGTTGCATGGCATGGCCTTGTTTGTTGTTTGTATGTTATGTTTGGGCTGGAAAATTGTTTGTTGTGTATGGTAGGTTGACAACATCCACTAGGCAAAAAAAAATGTTTCTGGTCGTTGACATTATCCTTTAGGTCTGGAGAAAGGTCCTGGTGGAGAACCACTGGACTAAATGACATCAAGTATTGTTGTTGTTGTTGTTGTTGTTGTTAGGTGCTGTTGAGCCCGGTATGAACAAAAGATCTGAAGCCTGTTCTATGCTGCACCACCGTCACCCTCGCACTTCCTGACACACTGTAGCCCACTGCAGAAGTCCCCGTGTCAATCCATCTGATTGAGGGGCTTCCTCTCCTTCGCCGACCCTCCACACTTCCCAGCATCATTTAACCTCTTTAAATCTATGAAGATTCTCCAGTATGTAGAAGAAGGAATAGACTGAGTCATTGTAAGCCGAAACCAAAACAGTCCTGATGGACAAAAATTAGAGGGACATTTTAAGAGAACATTTTGATAGCTTTAACTTTTCTAAAAAAAGAGTCACTGGCTGGCAAACCAGTAACTTGTCCGCTGCTGTGGGTGTTCGCTGGGTCTGGATCACTTTCTGAGTGATGCTGGGAATGTGTTTCCTGGGATGGAGTTGGAAACGAATAATCTCTTAGGTTCCATTTAATGATTGCTCCTCTTTTGACAGGTTTAAAGACTGTAGGTTTGAAAACCATTCCCCTTGAGGTCAGAATGGAAAGCTCTAGATAAACTGAGCTCACTCTTTGAGAGCAGAGAGGGAAGCACATAGTTCTGTGAACTGAGTTTTAAGGAGTGTCAAGAATAGGAGGAAAATGGACTGAAAGCTGACTTGACTTTCCTTATAATGAGTCGCTGAGATATAGAACAAGGAATTGCTGTTGCTAGCAATTGTTTGTCCCCTTGTTTATTTGGTTTGAGAGAACATTTTAAGTTTCACTCATTTATCTTTTTATACTTGAAGACAAGCATTTATTTACAGAGACAATGATACCTTCAATGTATACTTTCTAATTTTTATTTTTATTTAAATAATAAAACATATCTCAAATACCTGTTGAATGAAAACTACCTGTGCGTTGCTTTCCAGTTGTTTTTTGTCCTTGTTGCTGGTGGCTGCAGTGGTGTGGAAGATCAAACAAACGTGCTGGGCGTCTCGACGGAGAGAGGTATCGGTGCTGTTATTTAATCTTTCTGTTTAAAGATTGAAACATACAAAACATACAGAATCTGTATTGCATTAATAAGAGATTCCTTTCAAAAACGTATTCTCAACTTAGTTTTTCAAGATTGAACAAAGCACTCTAGTAGTTTTTTTAAGTTTTATAACAGACTTTACAACTGTCATTTTTAAGTCAGTATCTGTGCAAAAGGATTTTTGGTATATTTTTATAGTATTTAATATATATAGATGTTAATTCTATTGATATAATAATCTGTAGTCTCTTTAAATTAAGTATACTGTAATTTTAGCTTACTAAAATTACATTTTAAATTTTTTTTTTGCTTCCATTTAAAAGGAAATTCAGACTATAACTTTGCATTTTGTCCTCTTAGGGGGAAAAAAGTCTTTCCCTGAGAATGTATATAATACTCACTTTTTATTGACGTTCAAATATTTTCTGTTACTTTATTGTCTGATAATTCAAACATATTTGAAGAGCATCCTAATTTGATATATTTCTGTATCAGGACTAATCATAATTGTTCTTCATAATTCAGATATCCATAACTAGTAACCACACATACTGTTTTATAACACATATTTTATATAAATATGGTCTGTAAATCTTATATATGTCAGTTAATGGAAATAATATATAATAATTTGCAAAGTATAAGTAGAAATACATTTATTATTATAATAGTAAATTTATTATAATGAGTAAAGTCTGTTTTGGCTGTTAAATATATTAGTAGTCTATTTAACTCTATACTTTCTGATTTATTTTTATGGTTTTTGAATGTGCCATGGACTGCCAAGAAAACAAACAGATTCATCCTAGAGAGGGTTAAACCAGGCTACTCCTTGGAGGCAAGGATTCTGGGGCTTCGTCTGACATACTTTGGACATGTAAGGAGAGACAGGTCTTTAGAGAGGGACATCATGCTGGGTAGAGTGGAGGGACAGCGCAGGAGGGGAAGACCCTCTATGAGGTGGATTGATTCAGTGACTGGGGTAATCGGGATGAGTGTGTCAGAGGCAGTGCGATTGGCACAGGATAGAGCAGGGTTTAGGGCTGTTGTACATAGGGTCGCTATGAGTCGCAAATGACTTGACGGCACATAACAACAACAACAACAATAATAATAATATACAGTGGTAAAATTGCTTGCCTTAATTTCATAAAAGGATGGTTTGAAACAATTTAGACTATGTTAAGGTGTTGAATTAGTGAGTAACGTAAATCCTTTTAACTCTTCTCCAGTTTCTTTTCAAATACTCGCTAGAACTCAGTGCCTGCCTATGATATATCCACCTGTTTGAGTTTACTCTCACACCTTATCCCAGTCTTGCTAGAAGTACAACATCAATGAGAATTTACTTGGTTTATGATAAAAAGTAGTGCCATTCAAAAGAAACCTCTAAAGTATAAATGTATAGTATTTTGCAAGTAGTGGACTTCTGCATAGATATTAAGTCTTGTAGACATTTTAGATCCATCTATTAAGAAACAAGTACAAATTAAGGAAAGAGAGAGAGAGCTGCTAGCCAGCCAATGTTCATGAAGCCTTTCAAAGTGGAACAGATGAGATGAAAATTTGTCTCCATCCAGCTGAGAAGGGAGCTCTGGTGGCCTAGTGGCCGGAAGCTGCCCTGCAGTCCCAAAGGCATGGAATCAGATGCATCAGCTTCTCTGAAAAAGGATGTGTACTCTCCTCTGGGTGATGTATTGCCTTTGAAAATCTGCTTGAGGTTGGTTCCACCTGGAGAACACACAATAACAAGAGGCAATTGGAAAAGGAGCCCGGTGGCGTAGTTCACAGTGCACCAGGCTGCTGACCAGCTGGAGCCAGCTCAGCTGGAGAAAGGAGGTGATGTTCTCACATAACATTTACAACCATGGAAACTGATGGCTGGGTGCTTTCAATTGGAACCCATGTGGCAGTGGGTGGTGGTAAAGCAATAGAAAAGGATTCAGGACCAGTCAGGAGCCTCGATTCCTGCAGGACCAACACCACCCCTTGGAGTTGCTCCTACTTTGGATGGCAGCCCTCATCCAGGTTTCCAAGGCTGTAAATCTTTATGGGAGGAGACTTACCATCTTTAGCAGTTCAATAGTAACACGCTACACCATGAATTTTAAAAAAAAACAACAAAATAGAACAGTAAAACAGCATGAATATCGTTGTGAAGTTGTATATTGTATAGGAGGAGATTGCTTCTTTTTCTCCTTTCCCATCTGTGTTGGATTTAACCAGCAGAGGGGCCTGGCTTTTGAGTTAGCAATGGACTATGCCACCAGAGCTCCCGGTATTAATACTGTTGTGTAGAACCGACTCATAGCTGACCCTCCAGGGGGTTTTCAGTGGTTATAAGTCACAAGGAAGGAGATTGGCTTTCTTTCTCCCATGGAGTGGCTAGTGGATTTGAACTGCTTACCTTTGTGTTAGCTGCACAACTCCCTACCATTAAGCCATCAGAGCTTTCTAATATTAATACTTCTATGTACTGTTGAGTTGGAACCAACTAATAGCTGGTCCTCCCTTGGGAAGATTGCTCAACTTTCTCCCATGGAGCTGCTGGAGGACTTAAACTGGGCACCTTTGTGTTAGCAGCACAATTCCTTACCACTAAACCACAGGGTTCCCTAGTTTTAATACTAGCAGAGTTTGTGTATCTTACATATAAAAGTTATAAAATACAATTCTGTAAATCAAGGAACATCTTTGCCATTAATTGGCTTATACTCTGGGTAAATGAGATCACTGACTGAATGTCCTTACCTTAAAAAGAAAGGGTTGTGCTTTAAAATTAATTCCCAAATTAGGATCACCAGAGCTCTAAACGTGTCTACATATAGTAACTGTAATTTAGTAACAGTATTTAATGTTTTTATTTTGAAAAACTAGTTCAAAGAGTTCATTTACCTCTAAAATATTCACATTTCTAAAATGAAAAAAAGTACTTTTGGTTAATACTACATCACCTCAGCATATAAATGCTATTTATTTTGTATTAATCAGAAATTCCAAGATGCTAGTATTACCTCAATATACTTTCTAAAAATGTGAATATGAATTTATCTTAACAATGCAATTTGATTGGAAATAAAAATCTTTCAAAATGTATGATGCTCACGGACAGTATAGGGAGAAATATTGAAGGGAAACTAGGTTTGGGACCACTGGGCCTGTTCTAATCTATGCTTCTAAATATTACTGCATCCTCTTGACATTTCCCCACTCTCATGCCCTTCTTTCCAAAGCCTATTTAGATGATGATTCTTTTTTTGTTAAAAATATAAGTGTTTGCATTTAATTTTCTGCTTCTACCGAAATGATTCATCTTATTGAAAAGTAATGTTACAATGTCATATGCTAAAAATATCTTTAGAAATTATCTATAGTTTAATATTCTTAAAATTTTTTACAAAAATGTTAGACCCTAAATATTTCAGATATATTTGTACATTAATCAAAGTCAAGTCTTGATGTCTTTGATGACTGTTGTTATTTTTCTGTTATTGTTTTTGGGTACCATTGAGTTAACTATGACTCAGAGTGACCTTATGAGCAACACATCTGAACCCTAACCAATTCTGCACCATTCTCATAAGCTCTGATATGCTTAGGCCCATTGTAGTCACTGCACGGATCCATTTCATTGAGGATCTTTGTGTCTTTCACTGACCCTGTACTACCTTTCCCAGAACGATGTCTTTTTCCAAGAACTGGCCCTCCTGACAATATGTGAGATGAGGTTTAACCATTTTCCCTCAAGGAGCTCACTGGCTATACTTCCTCTAAGACAGATTTGTTTGTTCTTTTGCTAGTTCATGAGATATTCAGTACTATTCTCCAATATCACAGTTCAAAGACAATGATTTGTATTTGTTATTCATTATTATCCAACTTTTGGGAGCCTAGGATGTAATTGGAAATACTAAGTTTTGGGTCAGGTGCAACTTACTGTTTAAACTGACATCCTTGGAGAGGTCTCTGACAGCAGGTTTCTCAATGCAGCATTCCTTTTGATTTCTTGACTGCATCTATCGCATTGTTGCCTGTTGAGCCATTGGCAAAAACTTTCTTGATGAGCTATAATCCATATTGAAGGCTGTAGTCTTTGATCTTTTTATATTGAGAGGTGCCAAGTCTTTTTCCAGCCGATTTACCCAAGGCAGTTATTACTTAATTCTGGATACATGTCGATTTCATGAGCATTGTTTATGGATCTAAGTAAAATAAAATCGTTGACAACTTCAGACATTTCTCCATCTATCATGAAGTTGTTTATTGGTCCAGTTCACCTGTGAGCACTTAATTGTCTTATATTGAGATGTTATTTACACTGGCCATAGTCTTGGATCACCTTCAGTAACTGCTTCACAGCCGCTTCACTTACAGAAAGCATGGTTATGTTGTCTGCAAATTGCAGGTTATTTATGAGTTGTAGTCAACTTGATGACATCTAACAACAACATACAAAGCAAACTGATTTTCCATTTAACTGTTCATACACTTTTTGTTTCTTAGTATTAATTCCAATACCCATACTATTATAGCTCTTCTCCAGCTTCCATCCTAATAATTCTCATTTCTAGTAATATTTCTATTATAATAGTTTTTAAATTAATGTATCTACTTAAAAATTACTTGGGAAGATAAAGACATTAGCATAGAATTTTACAGAAAAGGAATTTGTGCCTTGCATACCCATTCCCAGAAATATTATTGTAAATGACGTACTTATTATTTTTATCAATTCAACAAAATATTTCTTACTGTATTCCAGAAATATAGATAGATATTAAGCATATAGAGGAAAAAATACATGGAAGTTATATTTCAGGGAGCTCCTAAATAACATGCCTCTGGAAACCCTATGAACTTTGATAAATGTCAGTAGTTGTAGAGGGGCTTTGAGCCTTTTGTTCATAGGGTTGCTATGAGTCGTCCTCGACTTGAAGGCAATCAACAACACAACACCACCACCACCACCTAG